TTGCGCGTCTGGGTGATCTGTAAGGTCTTCAGGCGATTGGTCACCCTCTTGTGGGCCTCGGCGAAGTATCTCTTGCGGCCGACCTTTTGCAGGTGGAGCTGCTTGTCCTGCTCGAAGGCCTGCTCGTAGCGCAGGCGCTTCAGGGCGGTCTTCCCCCTGACCTCGCGGCCGCGCTCGCGCCCCCGCTTGAGGCCGCGCCCCAGGCGGTGCACGGCGCCCTTGAGCGAGCGCATGGCGGCGACCATGCCGGGGATGTCGCGGGGCCGCCCGGCACCTTCACCCCTGTGTTCGCTGCGGCTCGGGCGGGCAAGCTCGCGGGCTCGGAGGCCGTTCTTGCCGGGCCCCCCCGCGGCAACCTTCTTCTCCAGAGCCGCCCGGAGCCCGTGCCACCTCGCGACCGCTTCGCGGCTCCAGTACCACTCGTTCGCTGTGCAGATTGGTCTTCGCGGCGCTGGGCAGGAAGCCGAACTTCTCGATGCCGCACTTGTCCGTGCGCTTGCCCCGGCCGAGGAGGATCTGGAGCGCGCGCTGCGCAGGCGGGTCTCGTCGCAGCGCGGGCGCAGCTCGCGGCTTGCGCGCCCCCTTGCGCTCCGCCAAATTTCTCTGGGGTCTGCCGCTTTGGTCGATGCCTCGCTTCGCGCCGCGGCCGAAGTCGCCCGGGGCGAGGGCCTTGCCCTCGGCGCTCGCAAACTCTCGGCGCGCGGCCACAGCCGCGGTTCGGCCCTGATGGGGGGGGGGGGGGGGGCGCTAGTAGTAGCGCAGCCGACCCGTGCAATGGGGGCGCGCGGCAAGGACGCAAGGGCCCCGGAAGGCCCGCGTCGACACTTTTCGAACGGGGCTGACCAGAGAAAGTTGCCAGGGGTGGGCCGAAAGGGACAAGGGTGCAAAGGTGACCTTGGGAAGGTTGCTCACCCTTACTGTGCGGGTTCACTGTAGTAGTAGTCGTAGTAGTAGTAGTAGTAGTAGTAGTAGTAGTAGCAGTAGCAGTAGTAGTAGTAGTAGTAGGAGGAGGAGTACTAGAAGGAAGGAAGGAGGAATAAGGGTGGGAAAAGGAAGCGAGCGGGGCGAGCGGAGAATGGCCCCAGGATTGCTCTTTTTTTCCCCAGAACATTCTTGGGTTCGGAACTGCAGTTTTTTCCATGCACTATACCTATATGAGTCCTTGTCAACATCGCACGCACGGCGCCCAGTCCACGGTGGGCGCCCAGCGGGGGATAAGCAAACATATACATATGTTTAACAATAACAAAAACAAGCCGTAATAAAACAACGGAGGGGGGGGGGGGGGGGGGGGCATGTTCGGGCCTGGGAAGGGGGGGGGGGGCAGGGGATGCAAACGTGATTGCGGAAGCTGGCGTGGTGAGATCACCATTGCCATGCTCAACGTGTTTGATACGTTTGCTAAGTCTGAACAAGGTGATAGCAACTTCGATTCGCAACTTCCCCCGAAGATTACCAAGTTCGGCGTCGCCGTTCCTCTCCACCCCATTCACACGGGAAAATCCAAATTCAGGGGGTTACGAGGAGATGATCGATTATCGGGAGTGTCGGTTATCTGTTCTCACATGGTGCCACTGGGTTGTCCAACCTTCCTTGGAATTGCCCCATGCTGCATGGGCACACTGTTGTTATGCTTGCTTGTGTGCTCCACTGTGTCTGCGAACTCTCTGCCAATCGTAATTGCGAATCGAAGCATGCAGTTGCCTTCCATCGCTGTCAAAACATATATCTGCGTGGCCAACATCAAACTCAATATGCCTCTCAGAGTAGCGGGATCGCGCGGTGGTTTCGAACAGCATGCCTCGCGAACGGACATCTAAACCGTTGAAGGGGCACCCGAAAGCCGAGTATATCACACATGTGCGGGGTGTACACGAAGCTGCTGCCGGTTTCAATATCGGATCATTGTGCTAACACGGAGATTATGAACTCAACGCGCTAACCTTCGTGAGAGTTATCTGTCACGCCCTGTCGACGTCAACTTCTCCGCACGGTCCTGTTAGACTGATGGTCCTCCCGAATCGTTTGCACTTCTTACAAGCGATGGGCCAAGCCAAATCCTTCGGGATAAATCAAAGCACTGCCGCTGGCGTTAATCAAATCACATGTCGTTCGTCGTGCTGGTCGATGTTGATGCCTCGGAATACAGCGACCCAACGACAAAAGACACTCGTGCTGACTTATGCTCCACTCGGCATCCGTAGGCCACGGCTATCAACCCGCAACCAATCGAAAGGAACGTCACCTGAGAGCTTCAGAGTGTCCTGTGAAACCGCAACCCGGCACGATAATTTCAACGATCGATCTCTGTCTCGCGCAGCGACTTCAAAAAATTCGTCCACGCAACTTGCCATTCATAGCGGACAGAAGACACCGACCACTCTAGTTTACTGCGTGCGACCGAGAACGATCGGCAATGCGCTGATCCAAACAATGCCGCTTCAACCAAGTGGCCAAAAAACGTGTTGAACAGATGCTTCTTGAACCGCCAGATCCAACGCTGGAGGTTAACATGCAGTTCAGAAAGAAACAAGCGATGTGCCTCCAAATCTGCGCACGCACTTCTCGTCCGTAGAATTACACTACGTCGGCTTCGCCGACGGATCGCGGACTCTGCGCTGGAGCCGCCAAATGCATCGTGCGACATTCGGGGCTTGAGTAAGACTGGTCCGAACCAAAACGCCCTGAGCCAAATGCTTGAACCAAAATGGCTACGGAAATACAGCGGGACAAGGATGAGAGCAGCCGGCACAACGGTGAGAGCACGGCACTGTAAAACCAGAATATATGTGTTTCAAAAGTGCGTTCGCCCTCTAGACCAGGAGTGCGAGAACACGGTCAAGGGACTTGGGCATATGGCCATCGGGCGTAGGTGGTCGAGTGTGTTTTGTCTGCCACGTGCCCCTCTTTTTTCCCCTTCGGGGAGGGGCTTACCCCTCCCCCTACCCCCCCCCTGGACCTGGACGGGGCCGGCCGCGCCGAGGAGGCCCCAAGAGGCGCCCAAGAGGCCCAAAGAAACTCGCCGAGGCACCCGAGACGCTCCAAGACGCCTCCGGGAACGCCAAGAGGTCCCTAAGACGCTCCAAAAGGCCTCCACTGGGGCACCCTTCATCTGCGTGCTGCCCACTTCCCTGACCGAGGTAACTCCTCTGGGCATCATTTCTGGAAGGGCTGGTGGGGTTACTTTTTGGACAACGGCCTCGTGAAGCGGGTCAAAAGGCGTCCATGCTGGTGGGGGTATTTTTTGGTCAGCGGCCACGAAGACAGCGGTCATGTGGCGATGGCAACATCCGGGCCACGGGCGAGGCTGATTTGCAAAAACAGAACGCGGCTGGGCAGAGCTGGCGAAATCTGGTGGGGTTACTTATTTGTTTTACAGCCGCAGGCGGAAGCGCCGGCGGCGAGCAGTCACGGTCGGGCTGCGCTGGTGGGGTTACGCGAAGCGTCAAGAATTACAGTGGGGGCCCATCACAAGAAACACCCTGCTTGCCTCCAGGGTGCCCTGGGTTTCTTGGGTTTCGATGGTTTTGGAGTGCGTGACGTTCCCACGCCAGAAATCGATGAAATCCAGGGGTCTCAGGGTTGGGTTTCTTGTGGAAGGTTTCATGTGGACCGGCCTCCACTATATAAGGCCCCCATGGTTTGCTACGTGCCAGAGGCGGGGAGCGATGGCCCGAACCTGCTCAGTCCGCCACTACCTCGACTCATCTCGCACAACCCTCCTCGAACGTACGGTCCTCGCGCAATTCGAGGAACGCATAGGAAGGAACGCATGGGGCCTTTCCAGCCCCGGCGGGCCGAGGCCACGGCGGATGTAGGGAGCGGCACGAAGACCCTAGCACCCCCTGAGCCAAAAGCTGCCCATGTGTCAGCGTCTTGACTGTAGCCGTGGAGCCTCGAGGCGGAGGAAGGATCAGGATCAGGATCAGGATCAGAGCTCCAAAGAACCTCTTGTCTTGGTCAACTACGGGATGGAAAACCAGGATCAGGATCAGAGCTCCAAAGAACCTCTTGTCTTGGTCACATACCGAATCGGCGGAGGAAGGGAGGGGAGGGTTTGCCCAAACCTGTCGAATCCGCCGCTGCCTCACTTGGTGTCCGTTCCATGGGAGCCCACGCGGCCCCCGACGCGGTCCGACTTGGGCCGAGTTCGGACCGGATTTGGAACACCCTGGGGACCCGATTAGGACAGGATTCGCCCCTTCACAAGCAGAGGAAACGAGAAGGACGAGGAGGGGGCGAGGATAAGGAGGGGCGAGGAGCAGGAGGCAGGGCCTGCTGCGGCTGTAATTCAGGAAAAGCTGGTCTCAATGTCGCCGCTCGAACGGACATCGAAGTGGAGTCCGGGGGCCCACGAAGACACACGCGCCCAACCATGTACCTGAACTCGGCCCCCCCAATCCGCGAGACCAGCCGCGTGATACGAACGTTCGCGCGAAACGCACTCTCGAAGACAGCGTTGATTCATGTACGTGTACGACCTCTTGTCGTTTTTCTTCCTCCTCCTCGCCACTTTCGAAATTGCTGAGGGGCTCCAGAGGAGTGCCAAGCAACGGCCAAGTGCCAGGGTGCCAGGATCACGCTTCAGGGGGTGATTGGTGCGTTATCGTTTCACTGGATGGGGGGGGGGTTCTTTAATGCTTCCCTCGGCCACACGCAGGGGTAACCCTGCCAGCCCCAAAGCGCGCCAGACGCCAGCATCGCATGGCGATCGGCGATCGGGGACCCCAGAGGGCCCGCACCAAAGGTCCCTCTGGCGAAGGGTCACTCTTGCGTGTATTTCGACTTCCTCGGTCAGTGCTAGGTCGGGCATGGCCTGCTACAGGAGGATGTTCGACGAAAAATGCAACATAGTCCAATCATATCCAAACAGTCTTCAAAAATATTCAACAAAATCGTGCCCCGACATTTTTGTTGAAACTGCTGTTAAACCCATTCCTCCCGCAGTGGGGCGTGCCCGACGGAAGCTTCGTGGTGGCCCTCTCCGGCGCTGCCCGATCCTCGAGCTCGGCGCACGCCACCACGGCCGCGGGGCACCTCCGCACGGAGAGGGGACCGGGGGCGGCCGAGGGGGGGGGCGTCCAAGAGTGAAGGGGCCCTGGGACACACGAATGAATGGACATAAATGACAGGATCCCTAATCTTTTCCCTTATTTTCTGTGTTTTTGTCTTCCCCCCCACTTCTGATAGTTTCCCACATTTTCTGGGGACTCGACAATTCATTCTGTCTGTGTGTCTTTTCCTCCTGAAAGAGGGGCGGGGGGGGGGGCGCAAAGCATGGCCGGCGGCGCGTGCGCGGCCCCTGGGAGGGGAGAGGGCCAGGGACGCAATGAGAGAACAAGGGGCGCCACGAAATCTGGGGAGACAGCATGGCCCACGCCACGACCCCCCCCCCAATTTGAGCAGGGGCCGACCGTCCCGGCATTCCTAGAGCCCTATCACAACATGTCCTTGGAGCCCCCACATGTTCCAAGAAAAGAAGCCATGCTCTCAGAACACCAGCTCGATGTGTGAAAGCAAGACGGTCTCGGCCATGCATGGCCTAAGAACACTGCGTGCAGACCACAAACCCTCCTCCTCCTCCTCCTCCTCCTCCTCCTCCTCCTCCACCCTCCTCCTCCTCCCCCTCCTCCTCCTCCTCTTCCTCACCCTCCTCACCCTCCTCCTCCTCCTCCTCCTCCTCCTCCTCCTCCTCCTCCTCCTCCTCTTCCTCCTCCCCCTCCTCTTCGGCGGGCCCATAGGCGAGCCAGGACGCTTCGCGCCACTGCTCCGACTGGTCACCTCCCCCCTCTTGGCCGCCCCCGAGACGAGGGGCGCCGGCGCTCGCACGCCGGACGCGCGCCGGGTGCGGCGGCGGCGAGGCGAGGCGAGGCGAGGTGGGCGGCCGCAGCGAGGCGGGGCGGCACGGCGGCGCGGCGGCGGGGCGTGCGGCGCCGTGGCGCGTCAACAACGTCGACGACGGCGGCGACGCTGTGAAAGACGCTGCCGACGAAGATGACCAACGAGGAACGACGACGGCGTCAACGACCGCAGCGGCGACGTCGATGACACCCGACTCCCCCGGCCGTGGAGGGATCGGGTCCTGGGTCCTCTGGGCCGCGGTAATTGGGGAGGGGGACAAATTGGAGGGCAGCGAGGGCTGCAGAAGAGGGGCCCTTCAGGGCCCAGAAGGAGGCCTCTGAAGGGAAACTGGGACACACAAATAAATACACACACAAATAAAAAGATTCCCCATATTTTCCTATATTTTCTGGGTTTTTGCCTTCCCCATCACTTCCCATATGTTCCCATATTTTCCGGGGGATCGACGATTAATTGTGTCTGTGTGTTTTTTCCACTCCTGAGCCTCGGAGGTCCGAAAAGTGACCTCTCTCTCTCCCCCACCCCTCACTGATAGCCCCACACACGACTTCGCGCCCAGATCCTGAGGACCCTAGGGCCTGGGCGCGGGGAAAGCCTTGGGATCCAGGACCCAGATCCCGAGGCCTTCCCCGGGACCAGCCCGTCATCTCCACGCCGTCCTTTGACAGCCCCCTGGGGCCCAGGCAGGGCCCCCGGGACCCCGAAGGCGACGAGAACGTCCTGGCACCTCCCTCTCCCTTTCACCCAGGCGCCCGACGACCTGGTATTTTCCATGCGCGCCCCAGGAACTAGGGCGCGAATCAATGGGGTGGCAATGAATTACTGGGGGGGGGGGGGAGAGAACGGTGCCCTTCTCGGGCCCTCGAGGCCCCTGTCTGGGCCCGGAAAGGGCTCCCTTGGGGGCCCTCAAAGATCTTTGTTCTGCAGCCCTCGGTGCCCCCGGCATTGGCCGCCCCCCCCCCGTTGCGCGCCCTCCGAAGAAAAGGTCCCGCCTGTTTCCCCCGGGGGCAGTCCTTCGGCCTGGGCCCATGTGTGATGGTCCTGGGGCCCAGTGGTACAGTTGGGGCGTTGACCTGAGGAACCCTAAATAAGGAACGAGGCCCCTGTTTCCCATAAGTTCAACCTCGATTTCCTATGAAAACCCTCAGGAAAACCCGAGGCAAACTTTGAAACAATCAAGGAACACCGAGCCCCTCCCCAGCGAAAAGGGTTGCTTCTTCTGCGCCCCGACTGTAGACCCTGCAGGCTGAAATCGTGGAAGGAAACCAGAGATTACTAGAAACTCGTGTCGTCGGAGATCTGGGGATGTCGCTACTGCCCGAACCTGTGACAGGGTGTCTGGCACGAGGGCTCTTCAGGACGAGCAGCAATATCGGTACATGTTCCTTCTCCCCTGAGATCCAGGCACTGCACCTGTTCCAAACCATACATGTTCGCCGGTTTTCGGGCCCAGCGACCACCACATATCGACCCACCTTGAGAAATGCCGCAGGGCTGTGGCCGTGATGCCTGTTTATGTTTCCATGTTTTCGCAAAGTTGGAGATCAGAATATGTTCAAGCTGGGAGCTGGAACAGTGGGTCTGACGCAGACGGGTCCGCAGGGACAGATGCAATAATACTTGCAATAGCTCGCGCCTGGATGCAATCCGTAAAAATCGCTGGACGCAATGCTTGCCGCGTGGACACCGCCTGTGTATCTATCTGTTATCGCCTGCAACGGTTGCGGCCCGTGCAGTAATATGTGCCGCCCCCCTTCCCCGCAACCCTTGCGCACGACTGCGCGCAACCGTACGCCAGCAACGAACGATCTCGCCTCCCACCGCCCACCGCCGACCCACAGACTCCGGCTCAGAGTCTGGTCTCCCTCCGCTCGTGGGCGACAACAGCTTCGCATCCACGGCCTCGCGGTCCGGGGCCCCGGACCGCGCCCGCGCGGATGCGCGGCGTCTCTCGCGGACGCCCCGCGCGGCACGTACCCGTGCGAGCACGCATCAGAGGGGGTCGCGCCCTGGAATCCATACCACGACGGCGCGGATGTGGATACATTTTTGGGGAAGCCCAGGGATACCGATCCCGCTACTCCTCTGACCTCTCCCGGAGTGCGCTCTGGCCAGGGTCTCGAGGCGAGCCCCGCCGCGGCGACGAGGGCCTCCCATGAGGCCCAACAAGCGAAAGCGAGGCAAGGGCAGCGGCATCGGCACCTCTTCCTCGCCATCCCCTCTCTTCCTCGCCCTCCTTCCGCGCGGAGGCCTCTGGGGCTCTCTTCTGTCGCGCCCGGAGGACCCGCAAAGTCTCCGCAGGGCCCTGGGCGCCTCCTGGAAGCCTGAAGCGTCAAAGGTTTCGACCTCGAGCGCCGACCCTCCCTCATTGCATCTCCTCCCCCTCCTCCCTTCCCCCCCCCTCCTCTCATCGGGGAAACGTGCGACTCGGGCTCGGGGGACTCGGGTTGTCATGACGGGGCCATCAGGAAAATGACAAGGCCAAAATCTGAAAAATGCGGGCTCCCGCTGCAAACATCCTACGACAACCGGACCGGACCGCCCAACATCCAGGACGCGCTCGCCAAGGGCGTCGGCAAACCCGAATTCCTAAGAGAAGAGTCAACGCCATCGGCATAAAACTACTGGCGCTCCGCAAGAATTTCTTGGATCTGCGCTGGACCACCCTCCTCGGCGCGTGGAGCGCGCCAAGGGCGGCGCCAGAGGCGCCGCCAGCGGGCCCCAGCGCGGATCCAAGAAATCCGCGCGGATCGCCCAAAGTTTCTGGCTATGCCGTGTTTTCTTCTTCGAGGTGGGGACCGACGAGACCCACGAGACCAACGAGGTCGAACGGCACGACCGCTCCAGTATGGAACGGTCCACGCGGTGTCAGAAACCAACGTCGGCGTCATCGCTGGCGCGAACCTGCCGCCGTTTATGTTGATCGCGTTTTTCCCCAATCAGTGCTTGCACTGAAGGGGTCCTAGCGGAAGTTGGAAAACCTGGCGAAAATTTCACGCCGACTTTGGTAGCAAGCTGGGTTCCCGGGTTCCCGGTTCCTGGGTCCTGGGTTCCCAGTTATTGGTTCTGGGCCGATTTTGGTAGGTTCTGGGTTCCTGGGTTCCCGGTCGATCTTCTCAGCGAGAACCATCCACTGATTGGGTTTTTTCTCTGGTGTAATGTCTTTTTCGAATCCGGCGCACTCGAGCCTTACGTCTCCCCTGCTCGGAACCTCCGCCGCTCCCGATCCGTGCCGACCCCCCCGCGGCGCGCCCGCGCAGGCGGCCGCAGGCCACGCCGCGGCCCAGCAGCTGGCAGGCGTCCTCCAGACGAGCGCGCCCCACGACTCACGAGAAGTGACCGCTCGCACGTGGCCTGGATCGGCCATGGGGGATCCACGATCCAATACATGAAGATACATACACAGCGCACGGAGGAACAGACAACGGCATGGAGGAATAGACAACGGCATCAGCATAAACTTTGGGCGGTCCGCGCGGATCTCTCGGGTCCGCGCTGGAGCCCTCCCTCCCTGGCGCGCGGGGAGCGGCGCCAGAGGCGTCGCCGGGGGGGGTCCCAGCGCAGATCCAAGAGATCCGCGCGAGCCGCCACAAGTTTCTGCTCATACCGTTGTTTCTTCTTCGCCTCCCTAACATGTGATTTGCTGACGTTCGCGAGTATCGGCGGTGGACGATTCTCCCTTTTTTAGTGAAAACGGCCTCGGACCGAAACCGACGGACCTGGACCCGCAGAAATGACGACCGCGACGCCCTCTCGCAAGCCGAAACCGGCCCAATCGTTAATCGACGTGTCAGGGTAGGAGGCCTACCCACCTCCGAGTAGGCGCTCTGCGAGTCGTGGGGCGCGCCCGGTGGGAGTCCTCGGCGCGTCCCGCGCCCTCCAGCCAGGCAGCACCGCGGAGCCTGCCGGGGCAGAGGCGGCCACCGCAGGAGGCGCCGGGCCGAAGACCGGGCCGCCGCCCGAGCGATCGAGGCGGCCGCCGCGGCCGCCCGATCGAGGCTCCACGGTGGAGGATCCTCCGATGCAGTTTTTCTCTCCTGCGCCCCAGCCGTCCATGATCGAGGGGGCTGCCGGAAGTGGGGCAGGGAGATGAGCAAGGGTGCTCCTCCATGGTCGCGGCCCTCGCCGAGGAAAAAGGCACACGTCCGACCGATGCGAAGACTCGGGGGCGCGGAAACATGGATTAGAGATCCATGCATTTGGCGCGCGGTCGCCAAATCAATCGATCGGGGGAGGTGCCCTCCCCAAATTGCGGCCTGTGCCTCCTCGCTCGGCGGTGGCAATCCGCGATTTCCCATGGAAACGGGACCCGTCGCTAATAGACGCCCCCTTGATCCATGTGTGCGATCGCCTGATATAGTCTGCGGCTATCACTTTTTCCCTCTGTGTCTATCTCTCTCTCTCTCTGTTTCTGTCCGCCTCCCCTCTTTGCTTATCCCTCCTTTGCTCGCCCCCTTCCCCCCTGCTCCCTTCCGGCCCCCACCCCGCGGCCCCCACCCCGTGACCCAGCGAATCCAACCCTTCCCGATGTGGGCAATCCAGAAAAAAGGCCCTGAAGTGGCAACTTTCGGCAAAATTTCAAAGTACCCGTCAGTGGAGTACCCGTTGCGGTGCCGCTGAACCCGATGACGGCCCCCGGAGCCGGAACCGGGGAACAAAAAAGCGCCTGGATCGACAAGGGACGCGGCGTCGGAGAGCCGGGCGCCCCTCCCCCCCTCCCCCCCGGTGGCAGGCGAGCCAGAACTCGAGGTAGTTGTTGCAGGCCACCAGGCAGCGCTGGAAGAGGGCCTCGATCCGCCGCTGATCGGGCGGCTGGCGGTTCAGCTCGAAGTCCAGGTAGCTCCTGCCCTCTTCGGGCATCGTGGAGGAGGAGGGAGGAGAGGAGGGAGGAGGAGGAGGAGGAGGAGGAGGGAGGAGGAGGAGGAGGAGGAGGAGGAGGAGGAGGAGGAGGAGGAGGAAGGAGGAGGGGGAGGAGGAGGAAGGAGGAGGAGGAGGAGGAGGTGGAGAAGGAGGACGAGGAGGAAGGAGGAGGAGGAGGAGGAGGAGGAGGACGAGGAGGAGGAGGAGGAGGAGCGAGGAGGAGGAGCGAGGAGGAGGAGCGAGGAGGAGGAGCGAGGAGGAGGAGCGAGGAGGAGGAGCGAGGAGGAACGGGGAAGGATGCATATGCTGGCGGTGGCCACACGGGGGTGGCGCGAGGGGTGCGACCTTCCGACAGGGCGCTGGGGCTTCCGCCAGGACGGGTGGGGCCTCTTAGAAGCACGCCCGGCCTTGGAGACGTCTCCTTGGAAGCCTCGGGAGCTTTCCGAGAAGGCCACTGCCCTCGTGGAAGTCCCAGCGCCTTCCAAGGGGACGCGTGGGGCTCCTCAGGAGCACGCACGGCGTCGGAGGAGCCTCCTTAGAAGCCTCGGGGGCCCTCTGAGAAGGCCGCCGCCCTCCCGGCAGTCCCTGCGCCCCCTTAGAAGGTCGCCCCTCGCACCATCCCTTTGTGGGCGACGCCCATTCGAGGGAAAGCAATGGAGAACATGACAACCCACATCCAGGACTCTGTGGTGTTCCAACAGAACCAAACACACGGGGCCCAAGTCGAGGATGTACGATGGGGGGCATCACCCTCGATAGGGTGTGCGTTCGACCAGCCCCCTTGGGAGTGTATCCCCGATTTTCCCTACTTTTCTGAGCGGCTTGATTTTTGGTGGGCAAGCTCTGCTGGGAACGAGGAATCGCCTGCGAGCGAAGGTTGGGAATTAGCGGAAAGAAGCGGGGGAGTGGCCGAGGGAGATGCATCCAGTCTCATATCAACAGTCTCCGAAACGTGCCATGAGCAGGTATGGTCGGTCGCCGCATGGAGTCACTGGTGCTTGCAGGTGGCTGGGCCGTGGAGTTGGACTGGTAACATTCGAGTTGGAACTCTGCGCATGGACGTGCGCATCGTCCTAGGCAACATAGGCCGCACTGCCTGCTGGAACCAACACTTCACTTCCACTGTCTCAATCCGCGCTTCAAAGTTATCGAATGCAGCAAGAGATGTTCACACGTTCGGATATGTAATCCCGTGAACGACACGGGGTAATGCCTCCCAGACAACTCGCTTCGTAGCACACATCCTCCCAAGAACGCTGTCGATATGAGGTTGAGGACGAGGAGCTGGACGAAGTGGGGCAAGGGAGAAAGGGAAAAAGGAGAAAGGGAAAAAGAGAGACGGAATGGAGAACAAGCGTGTGATGATGCCGAAGCGAGTCCGACCCTGGCGACGCCCCCCCCCGAAAACAACAGACAAAAGCATGTCCAAACCGGCAGAGCGGTGCAGGTCTTGGCTGCTGCGTGTGCAAGCCCTGCCTGGCAGATACAGGGCTGCCCGTGCGCGCCTCCAGGCGTTGAGCTGCATGCTGCTCAGCGGCTTGTTGTGGAAATAGGGGCGCTTGATGCTCTGCTCGAAGGGCGCCACAACCCTCGCCTTCCGGCAGCCCCCCGCCGCCCGCCCGGACCCCTGAGATAGCTGTCGGCGGACCCCGTCGGCGTGTGCGAGGGGCTTGTCCGTTCGAGCCGCCTTCTCCGTCACTCGTGAGTCGTCGTCTCTGCCGGCTCCCTTCCCTGTGGTTCCCATTTCCCTGGGCCCGTCGCCGCTCCCCCCTTGTCCTGGGCCATCCTCCCCAAACGTCACAATTCAATCGATTCGAAGCCCCCTCCCTTTGATCCCTCCCCCGTCGGGGCGGGGGGGTTCCATGGGGGGGTTCGCCACCCAGATAGCGGAGGTACCACCCAGATACGCCCCCCTCCCAGCGGGTCCGTGGTCCCCAAAAAATCCCAGGACGGGCCAAGAGTACCAGAAGAGGCCCTCAAGACGGTCCATAAGGGCCCCGCTTCGCCGAACGACATGTCCAAGACGCCTTCACGGCCTCCTGAAGGCCTATGAGGCCTGCAAAACGCTCCAAGAAGCCTTCAGGAACACTCCCAAGAACGGCCCCAAAGGCATAATTCATACATTCCGCGTCGGTGTTTGCAAGATCTTGGCGTCCTCCCCTCTTCGGCTTCTCGACGCTCTACGACAGCCCAAAGAGGCCCCCAAGATCGCCAAAAGACTGCCCAAAGTCCTCCGATTCAGAAGCTTTCAGAAGGCCCCAAGAGGCTTCCAAGACGCCCCCAATAAGCCCCCAGAAGGCCCCTGGAGACCCAAAAGAGGCTCCCAAGAGGCCCCCCGAGAGTCTCCCAAAACGTCTACAAACTGCCTACCAGAGGCCCCCGAACGCGCTCCGATGACACCCCGACGAGCATCCCCTTCTCCCCCTGCTCCTCCCCCTACTCTTCCTGTTCCTCCGCCTCGTCTTCATCAACCTCCACCTGCTCATTGCCCTTCTCGACCTCCTGCCTGCCCCCACTCCCCCTCCTCATCCTCCTCCGCATGATTTGTCTCATCCTCCCCCTCCTACTCCACGGCGTCCTCCTCCACCTGCTCATCCTCCTCTTTCTCCTCCTCCTCCTCCTCCACCTCCACCTCCACCTCCACCTCCACCTCCACCTTCCTCCTCTTCATCCCCCTTCTTCGCATCCTCCTCGTCCTCATCCTCCTGATCATCCTCATCATTCTCCCCCCCTCCCTCGCGTGCTCTTCCCCTGGTGCTCAGCAACCTCACATCGACCTCGTCCTCCCCATCCTCGTCCTCGCTCCTCCTCTTCCTGCCACTCCTCCTCCCCCTCCTCCACGTCCTCCTCCTTCTCCTGCTCCTCCGACTCCCATTTTGCTGGTCCTTCCCGCCCCCATCCTCTCCCTGCCTCTGCTCCTTCTCCTCATCTTCCTCCGCATCCTCCGTCTCCCGCTCCTGCTGCTCCACTGCGTCCTCTGCCTCCCCCTCCTGCTCCTCCTCCCTCTCCCCCTCCTCGTCGTCTTCGTCGTCGTCTTCAGGGTCGGCGGCACCGGCCGTAAGGCCTTCACGATCCAACACAGTCCTATGGCATGCGGCTCTGACAGATTTGCAACACTGCAACACCATCATCCGTGGCCAGGGCCTGGGATGGCGCACGCAACCTCCTGGACTTGACGAAGCGAAACTGCACTTGAACAGAAACCGACCGTCCCGGCATTCCTAAAGTCATACCACGAAATATTCTTAGAACCCAGAAATGTTCTAAGAACAAAACAATGTTCTTAGAGCATAAGCCCGATGTGTTAAACAAGACAGTCCCAGCCAGAAATGTTCAAATGACATTTCGTGGGAACCACAATCAAAAGATTGCTTGGTGGGGCTGTAGGCGAGCCGGGACGCTTCGCCACTGCTTGATACACACCATCCTGGGACCTCCTGTGTATTGTGGACTCTGTCTCTCTCCGTCCGAGGCGGGCCACGCACCGGCCGGGATGCCTCTCCGATCGCGCACAGAGCCCGCGGCTGCCGATGGGGCGACACACGCGGAGAGCCGGGAGCGGGCGTGGCAAGAAGCGCGGGGCCCGTCAGAAGCAGCGGCTGCGCTCTGGACGGCCAGGAGCATGTCTTGTACGTCCGTCCTGGGTCGGGTGGGCGCTCGGCCGTGCGGCGAGCAACAGGGGGGGGACCTCGGGAGCGCCGTGTCGTGTCCCCTGCGTGCTCGGCTAAGGTCCCTCGAGCAGGCACGAGAGCTCAGGGGGGCACACGACCTCATTTTTTCTGGCCAGTCAGCGGGCTCGATCCGAGCCGCCCAGGCGCTCTCCAGCATCCTCGCACCGTCAGGGCGAGGCCACCCAGCCTGTCCGCTCTGCTGCCGAACCACGCCGCCACTCGATTCGGGAGCGGCCAAGAGGGGGGGTCCAAGAGGGGGGGTGCAACTCATGACCGGCGGCATGTGCGCGCCCCCGCGGGGGGGGCCAGACGTAATGAAATAAGAAGAGGCGCCATGACATCTGGGGAGATATCATGGCCCCCGCCATGATATCCACCCCCCCCTAGTCATCACCCCCCCTCTTTTCCGCCCCTGACGCTCTGCTGCCGAACCACGCCGCCACTCGACGGACCACCCCCGAAGTCTGGACCCCCCCGCCGGGCCGTGCACGGACCCCCCCACCCCCCTGGAGGCCGAGCGCGGCCCGACGGCGGCCAGAACCCGGCCGAAGACGACAGAAAACAGCGCGTCCTGGACCTTCTGTGGGTCCCGGAAGCGGCAGGGCCGTTTTTTCACCGTTTCCAAAAAATGCCCATTGAAAATGGAAACGGCTAAAAAACGGCGAGCGGAAACGGCAAAAAAACGGCTCCACTTGGATGGCCGACAGAGTTGTTGTAGCTTGTACGATTTATAACCTGCGATATCCCTTGTTATAAGCAACACGATCCCTAGTTATATGTCTGGACATGTTTGCATTATCAATATAGTACCTTATAGGTGTTGACATGTCCATAACATCTGCGGATAGAACATACCTAGGGATATGTATCCGACATAACATGCAACATATACAAAAAATAAGTGTTTCAAATAAGTCAACTAAGTTAACTAACCTAAGAAGGGCCACCTGAACGGGCTGACGCAGAAAAAAAAATCGCGGCACAGAAAATGAAGGAGGAGAGCCGAGCGGAGAGGCAGGCGGCGGAGGAAGACGTGGAAGGAGGGGGGGACGCGACGCATGTGGCGGCTTATCCGCTAGCGGCCGTTGCTTTTTTTCCCTGGGCCAACTGACAAAAAATGACGTGGAGGAGCGACGGTGATGATGATGACGGTGGTGAGCACGATGATGAGGAGGGGCGGATGAGCGGGTAATCCGCTACAGCGGCTGATCCGCTTTTTTTTTTCAAGATGATTTTCTCCGAGCTCAGTGAATCACCACCAGCGCGTTGTCGCTCTTGAGGAACCATCCAGTCGCCTTGCGCGCGCCCTCGGGCACCAGGAGCTCCGACTGTCCCGTTCTAGTCCAGATAGAGTACCCACCGAGCGGCTCGCGACGCACCAGCGCAAGCTTTCCCACGATAAGCGCTAGAACGCCACCAGCGGACAAGCACGCTTGAACCTCGACCGCCGCGTTCTGAATGAAAACCACGCTGCCAACTCTGAGCAGCAAGCCCCGCCACCTCATCTGTTTGGACACGACGCAAACCTGGCCAAACTTGTCGGACAACGGCTGGCTCACCGCCACGGGCTCGCACAATTCGGTCATCCTGACTTTGTCCATCGCTGGGAACACCTTGACGAGAAGCTGCTGGACCGAGCTTTTCTCGAATGCCGCCGTGTTCGCGATGTGGGTCATTGATTGCTTCACGATCTTGTTCTTCCTTTCGTGCACAAAGCAATCAAGAAATATGTCGTCCTCTTGGTCTGACACAGCGTGCCACTGATAATGGTGTTTTGGGACGATGGAGTCGAGGCGGTACGCGGCCTTATGCGCGTCAAGGAAACGGCCAACTGCACGCCGCATGATATCTTTCATAGCAACGGGCGTGGAATAGTGCTTTGCCTCGTTGATGCTGTCCAGAACGTCACAGAGACGGAGGTAGCTCTGGCGCTCCAACTGCACCTTGTGCGCGGGAACGTGTTCAACAACAAAGTATCTGATGAATGGGAATGCAGACAAGAGTTCAGATGCCCCCGCGCGAAAGACACCGCTTGATTTCCACGCCATCTCCCGAGACCCGTTGAATATGTCAGCGAACTCGCTCCTGGTCAGCCCTCCTGGGTTCCAATGCCAGTCGGCCTCGGCGAACGTCTTCAGCAAACGGAAGGAAAAACCAGGAGTACACTCAGCAACACCATTAAAAAGCAAGCCAATCTCGATATTCACGATGCCGCCTGCCAGGTACACGTGCATGCAATCGCGCAGCAGGCAGGAATGTGGAAACACGTGTGGGCGAAGATCCTTGTCGGCCAGAACGCCGTGTTCGTTCAAAGAAAATCCCATCGTTGTCTGTGCCTTTTTCAACGCACCCCCATTCCTGCGCACGGCATCCAGAATATCGTGCGTGCGCCAAACGTCCTCGTCTGACATCGGGTCGAACTGCGAGGGGTCAGAGCACGAAATGTCGACCAGGTACGTGCCAGTCTGATGATCGGCGAGCGAATCAGTCACGCCATCTTTGTTCAGCTTCACTACGTTCTTGCACGATATGGAACAACACCTAATGCCGCCAAAGCCTTTCGTGTCGAAGAACGCTTTCGTCGCAACTTCGTCACCGATCAACCGCTGAAACTTGAAATACATAATCCGCGATTGGCCACCGCACGGCACGCTGACGCCTGCCACGGCGACGCTGTCGGAGCCGAGCAGGAGCGAACGCAGGAGCGCCTTGGCCGCAGCTGGGAAGCCTCCCTGCAGATCTTTAGCGATGGTGGCGCGCAGCACGCCAACGGGCAGCCATGCCTCTTCGCATCGCAGATAGCGTCCCATCTCAAGTATGCCTATATACCAGCACGTGGTCTTTCGCTTGTTGTTCAACCTCAAAACATCGCCAGGCACCACGTCATCTATGTACAGCGCCAGGCGCCACGGCCTGTCGAAAC